GTTCGTGCCGATATTGAAGGAAAATTGAAACGCAGAAAATTTAAATTTTAGTATACATTTATTCAATTATATAGGTTAGTCGGCACGAACTTTCCGGACAACCCAATACTTTTATATTTAACTTTACACTAATTTCATGTTCAGCTTTTAGTATTCACTGATCACTCGTAGTGCAAGAATGACCGAATTCGCTATACACTAAGTAGAATTCAATATATGTGTGTGAATACAATATGACTTTGGCAAAGACAAAAGATTGTTTAGTTATACCTCGACCTTCTTGATCTGCTACGCGAACGGTGACGACTACGCGAATTGCTGCGTCGTCTCGATGGAGAGTTGCGCCTGCGATCCTTCGATCGAGACCGTTTGGAGCGCGAACGCGATCGACGCCGATGACGAGATCGCGAGCGTCGGTGGCGCGATCGTGAACGCTTACGTGATCTCGAGCGTCGGCTACGTCCGCGGGATCGCGAACGAGACTTACGGCTGCGCGAGCCACTTCTGCTTCGCTTATCCTTGGAAAGCATACCGATCATCGGGTCGATTGCCGCAGAGATGAGATTGTGTGCCTCCTTTACCCGCGACATTGCTTCTTCAATTTCCTTTTGTGCAGCTTCGTTGCTCTTTGCCTCTGGTTTGGCAATTGCTTGCGTTGAGTGGTATAGCTTGATCGATCGTTCTGCAAACTGCTTTCCATTCAGCAGCAACGCCGCAATCACAGCTGCCTGTTCAGACAGCTCCACCAGCGCATAATGATCAGCATCTGAGTCCCTACTGCACATACGCAGGTACTTGATCTCTATGTTGTTGTTGCTGAAGAAGTCCAACAGCTGCTCAGGGCTCACCGATGTATCCAAATTTGCTACCACAAGCGTCCGACGAATCTCTTCGATACGTCTGCTGTCCAAATGACCTGGTAGGTGTGGATAGGACGGCAAGCTATTCGCCTCTAGCTTGGGATCCATCGTGGTAATGACATGATTTGGAGGAATACCTTCAATAGCATTCACAACGTTCGGTGGTAACTTTGGTTCTGATGGATAGAGACCTAAAAGAATAAAAAAGAGTAAGATCTATGTTAAAAAACGATAAAGCATTTTTTGGAAATTAAGAAAAAGAGTGTTTTCTCTTTTTAAATTTACATACATACAAGGTGCAAATTTGAAGTAAATTTAAAATCAAAATTTGAAACTCAAAGTACTATAGCAACAAAGTTCGAAAAATTAAATAAATAATTACTTGTAAATTTTTATTTTGAGGAAATCCTAAAGACGATTAATCATAATGTAAGTGTCCTCTTCTATAGATTCAAAAATTCTTTTTCAGAATTGAAGTATATAATTATAT